GTTATTGTGGTTATTGTTGGGTTGACCCGTTTGACAGTTTGAACTGCAGTGCATTAGTTGTCGTTGCATAATTTGTTACCATGTGTTATGCTGCTAATGCAACAAACACAATTATAATAATAGTAGTAGTAGTAATAGTATAGTTGTGGTAGTAGTAGTAGTAGTATACATTTGTAGTAGTAGTATTATTATTATTAGTAGTATATATTTGTATTAGTAGAGGTAGTAGTAGTAGCAGCAGCATAGTAGTGGTAGTAGAAGTAGTAGCAGTAGCGGTAGCAGTGATCGTTCTTGTAGTACTAGCAGTTAGTAGTAGTAGTAGTAGTAGTAGTTAGTAGAAGCAGTAGTAACAGTAATAGTAGTAGTAGTATACAAAGCGATTTTTATTGACTGTGATTAGAATTGAAAGACCTTTGTTGACTTTAAAATTATAAGTTAACCTCAAATGCAATTGATCAAAGCATGCTTACATGTGGCCTTCTTATCGTAGCAATTACGTACAATATGCATTTGTGAACTTTAGCAATGTAATTCCTGATTTTTTTTTTAATTATTTATTAATTTCAAAATTAATTAACTAAAAATTTTAATAAAACTTATATAATTGGTTACTAATGTTAACAAAATATTGATTTGAGAATATCAATATAAGAAAAACGAAGCTTTAATAAGCGTTGTACAGTCATTCGTTGAATTTTGACCACCTACTTGCTACCTACAATACAACAACACAAATGCTTGAAACACACGAGATTATACAACACATACAATTCATACACAATTCTTTCTTATCACACTGAGTAACAACATTAGTAACAACAATAACAGTTGAGGGAATAATGATAACAATAAAGTGATTAAACATTCTCTGGATTTCGCTAAGAAATTTATTTGCTTTGTAAAAATTTGTCATTCGGTTTCAAAAAAAATGAATCGGTAAAGATATTCACTAATGCAGCAAACTCGTTTGAAATCATTAACTGGATTATTATGTTTTTATTTGTGTTAATTTTTTAAAAATTTACACAACAGCTTTATCTGATTTTTAATAATTTTAAATTAAATGAGCCAAAATTCTTATTGAATGCATTTTTTTATATTTTTACCACAACGACAAAATGATGAATTGTTGAATAAACAAAGTTTACAACTTGAACCAGAATTAATACTTTTTTGTTGCCGGTGACGCAATTTTTTGCGAAAATCTTTTGAAACTTCAAGAAGTGGCACGAAGTTTGATTTGAAAATTTAAAGTTACTCGTTATTTTGAGCGAAAGTTTCTGTCGGAAAATCTTATTCTTTCTTTGCAGTTTCATCATTATGCTAACTTTTTATGCTGAATTTGAAATTTTGCAAACCTTTTTTTCAGAATCTATTATCATCTTTTCTATTTAATATTTAATTCCAAGTTGATCATTATTATTTGACGCGTTAAAAAATGCATCAAAGTAAAGTTGCTCTTTGCGTTCAACAATTTTTAATTTTTATAAATCCATTTTAAATGGGATTTATCTCAAAATTTTTGAAAATTTCAAAAATATTTTACAATTCATTCATCGTTTTATTTTTCCATAGATCTACTTATCCATTTTATCATTTATTTATCCATCCAT